TTCTTTTTTTTTTTGGTAAACAAATTTTATTTTCAGGAATACAACATGTAAAATTAAATCATTTCATTCTTTCAATTGTCTACCCCATTCCCAGTTCCTCCCCTCCCTCCATTGGCTTCCCACAATGCTTCCACCCCTGCTCCAAATTACTTCATATCATCAACTATATCAATTTCTTGTCATTACAATCTAAAGATAACATCATTTGACTTAATATTGGTCTAAACATATTAAGTTTTGTTTCACATCCCAGTTCTTTTCCAGATATATTTTAAAGTCACTCCATTCTTGAAAAAACACGTCGTCTTCTTTGTTGTTCAATTTCTTCGTAATTTTGTCCATCTCTGCCATGAACAGAACTTTTTGTATCCAGTCCTCAATTTCTGGCACTTTCTCTGTTTTCCAAAATTGTGCATAAATCATTCTCGCTGTTGTGATTAAGTACCAGAATAAGGTCTTTTTAGTTGTATTGACTTCTTCCATTTTCAATCCTAAAAGCAGAATTTCCGGTGCCTTTTTAAAAGAGCATTTCAGAATTTTTTGCATTTCTTTGTGGACTTTTGTCCAAAAGTCAACTGCTTTCTCACAAGTCCACCACATGTGGTAAAATGAGCCTTCATGGCTTTTACATTTCCAACACTTATTTGACATATTCTGGTTCATATTTGCAATTTTTTTCGGAGTCATGTACCACCTATACATCATTTTATAACAATTCTCTCTAACATTGGTACAAGGCGATATCTTAATAGAATTTTTCCACAAATATTCCCAGGTTTCAATAGCCACTTCCGTATTCATATTTATCGCCCATCAAATGGGGCTCAATGTGACCAAGTGCAAGGTGATGCACATTGGAACCAAAAATCCTAACTATAAATACACGTTGATGGGGTCTGAACTAGCAGAGACTGACCAATAGAGAGATCTTGTAGTAGATAACTCACTGAAAATGTTGAGACAGTGTGTGACTGCAATAAAGAAGGCCAATGCTATGCTGGGGATTATTAGGAAGGGTATCGAAAACAGATCAGCCAATATCATAATGTCTCTGTATAAATCAATGGTGCAACCTCATTTGGAATACTGTGTACAGTTCTGGCACCTCAGAAAGCATATTATAGTATTGGAAAAAGTGCAGAGAAGGGCAACTAGAATGATAAAAGGGTTGGAACACTTTCCCTATGAAGAAAGGTTAAAGCGCTTGGGGCTCTTTAGCTTGGAGAAACAACAGCGGAGGGGGAAAAGGTTTTTAAGTTTCGGGTGATCCCATACCTGGAAGCAGACCATTTTCCTATTTCCCTTATGGCAGAAATACATTTCATAAAAGTTTACTCTTCGCTATTTTTAGTGGCTGAACCTCGAAACTCTGATATGCTGTTCTGCTGTCCTAAATGGTCTAACCAACTAAGCCTTAGATTGAAGGAACAATTGTCACCTGAGCTTCTTTCCCGTTTTTGTGTGTCTCTGTCTAATCCGGTCTTTTTGCAAGACCCCTTGCTGGAGTATGACAAAGTGATCCAGCAGCTTGGAAGCACTCTGTTAAGTTCTCATAGGTCCTGTTCATACAAGCTGTTTGGGCCGGGAAAAGGACGGATCAGGGCCGGAGCAAACGGGCGCGATCCCACAGCAACATCTGGCTACTGTCGTGCTACCGTCTCCGATCCATCCCATCCCACCCATACAGCGCACCAAAAAAGAACCACCTACCTGGGTGGTTCTTTCGAATGGGCAGCGGCAAGTGCAGCCGTGGGATCGCCAGCGCGTCCTTGCGCCGGCACATCCCCGGCTCATGGCCGAACTGCGCATGTGTGAGCATGCGCAGTTCGCCAGCCTCCCCTTCCCACCGTCGCTTTCTCCCCGGCATCTGATTGTGCCGGGGAGCGACGGCGCCGCGGCTCAGGGGATCCGTGAGATCCCGCCGCAGCGTCTCAACTTTGCTGCGGCTCAGATTAGCCACAGTTTGCCCATCCTTTTCCCTGCCATAGAAAGCCAAATTTCAAACATGCTAAGATTTCTAAACCTTGGTTTACCAAATCTTGTGTCAAGGCTAAATCCCTTTTGGTTACAGCGTATAGTAGGTATATCTACTCAAGGCCTGATGAGCGTAAGAACAACCATGAGTATCTCCTCACTCAAAAGAGACTCTATAAAACACAGATTCGTAAAGCCAAAATGGAGTATTCTAGAGAGCAATGGGCACGTCTTATTCAAGCCACTAAAGAGAAAACTACATCAACTTTTTGGCGAATCGTGTCAGGTAAAGTGTAAAAAGCAGCTTTGAATTCACAAGTGCCTCCAGACTCCTGGATCACTTATTTTCAAAGTCTTTATGATGACTGCTATACGCCCTGTAATATTACTCCCCTAGCTACTTTGCCGAGTTGGTCTCCAGTTTCAGAGCAGGAAGTTAAGTCGCACATACACCGCCTCAAAAGGAATAAAGCTCCTGGAATAGATGGCATACCGTCTGAGCTCTTGAAAGAAAATGAGGACTGGTGGGCCTCTTTCTTGGCTCCCCCTTTTTACTTATGTTGATGTTACAGATCGTGTCTCCAAAAGTTGGGAGACAGCACTGATTGTTCCACTTTATAAGAAAGGTAAGCCAGATGATCCTTCCAACTATAGACCCATCAGCCTATTGCCTATAACTACTGTATGCTAGCCATCTCCTAGACAAATTGCTAGATTGGTTATCTAATAATGATATCATTCCACCGGAACAAGCTGGCTTTATGGAAGGTAGATCCACATTAGACCACTGTTTGGTCCTTCAGCATCTCATTGAAAAGTGTGGTAACAAAGGAGACTCCTTCTTATATGGGGCCTTCGTGGACCTTAAGGCCGCTTTTAATGCTATTTCTAGGGTCAAGCTGTGGGGCGAACTGGAGTCATCCTCAACTGATAAGACTCCTCTTCTTGATTCGAGCCTTACATCAGCACACCTCCCTAAGAGTCAAATATAATAAGCAAGGACATCTCACAGAACCCATTACCACTCTGAAGGGGGTTAGACAGGGATGTCTCCTTGCCCCTCTATCCTTCATTTTCTATATAAATGATGTGGTAAAGCTGCTTAACGTAAGTAGACCTCCTCCTCCTCCTCAATTGGCTCATGAACATCTTAACTCTTCCTTATATGCTGCCTTTGTGGACCTTAAGGCCACTTTTGATTCTATTTCTTGGATCAAGCTGTGGGACAGACTGGAGTCATCCTCAATTGATAAAAGACTCCTCTTCTTAATTCGAGCTTTACATCAGCACACCTCCCTAAGAGTTAAATATAATAAGCAAGGTCATCTCACAGAACCCATTACCACTTTGAAGGGGGTTAGACAGCGATGTCTTCTTGCCCCTCTACTCTTCATTTTCTATATAAATGATGTGGTAAAGCTGTTTAACGTATGTAGACATCCGCCTCCTAAATTGGCTCATAAACATATTTCAGTGCTGCTTTATGCGGACAATGCTGTTCTTCTCTCAAGAACCCCAGCAGGG